GACCTCCGAACAGCCTCAGCGACAGTCTCAGCAATTTGTGAGACACTGCTAGAACTGGGAAACTGTGAACCAGAATGCAGATTATGGTCCTCCCCCCCCCCAGACAGAGCCAGGAGCGGAAGCATGGCTGTTAAGCCTCCAGAGCAGTTGATTGATGTGTCTACGAATGACACATCCATCATCCAAGGCTACTTCATATGACAGTGGCCCAGAGACCTTGAATACCACTGCTGTGACCCAGAGATGTCCAGGCCCATAGTTTCTTGCCCAGACCGGATCGCCCACCTGAAGTCTCTAGGTGCCCGTGGCTGTGACACCTGTGAAGCCACCCGGTCTGGGTGCAATCTGTCCAGTTTGGTAATGAGGCGGTGACCCCAGCGGAGTTCTGCTGGGCTCTTCCCTGTGGCTGTGCAAGGTGTGGTGTGGTGTGCAAGAAGGAAATCTGTTAACCTGTGATGCCAGTTACCATAAGTCAGTTTCTTGAGAGCATCTTTGGTAGTGTGCACCACCCTCTCTGCTTGGCGGTTGGAAGATGGGTGGAAGGGAGAAGACGTCACATGCCAGATCACGTTGGTGTGAAGAAAAGCCTGGAACTCAAAAGAGGTAAATTGGGGGCCATTATCTGAAACCAGGACATCTGGAAGTCCATGTGAGGTGAAAATTCCTCTCAACACCTGGATGGTCCTGGCAGTAGTAGAGAAGGAAACAGGAACAACTTCTAGCCACTTGGAATGGCTGTCAGTGAGAAGGAAGAATTGCCCCTAAAAGGGACCAGCATAATCTATATGTACCCTTGACCAAGAGGTTTGTGTTTCCTCCCACCTATGTACAGGGGCCTGGGGCATTTCAGGCCTTGACTGTTGGCACACTTGGTGAGTCTCGATGTCTTTATTGAGCCCAGGCCACTTGAGATGGCTGCACGCAAGTGCTTACTATTCCTGGATGTCCCTCATCCAAGACCTAGGGATGACTACCCTACTACCCCATAACAGGCACCCTTTGAATGTAGAAAGTTCGTGCTTCCTTTGCCAGAAGCTTTGAAACTCCATATTTGGACACGTGTCAGGCCATCCTGACAAGACCCATGTCAGCACGTGTGTGAGCGTGTGATCAGTGGCAGTTTCTGCAGCCACATCCCTAGCATTGAGAGGAGATTCAGGCAACTCCTGAATGGAAAGAATGTTAATAGCAGGAGCAGGATCTGCCTCTATTTGTTTCAGAGGTAATCTGCTGAGGCCGTCTGTGTGGCCCATCTCTTTTCCAGGTTTGTGAATGAGTATATAATCATACGCTGACAGAAAAATTGACCATCTCAGCATATGTGGAGAAATAATGTGTGATGTCTGTTTGTCAGTTGTAAACAAACCCAGCAGAGGCTTATGGACTGTATAGACCGTGAAGTGGCAGCCATATAAGAAATCATGGAATTTCTTTATGCCAGCCACTATGGCCAAGGCTTCTCTGTCAATCTGAGTGTAATTCCGCTCTGCAGATGACAGAGTCCTTGAATAGTAGGCTACAGGGACTTGTGTCCCATCAGCCTTCAGGTGGCTAAGTACTGCTCCCACCCCATAAAGAGAGGCATCACATGCGATGCACACAAGCAGTTGCTCGTTGAAATGCGCTAATACAGCATTTGAAGAGAGCAACCTTAACCTCATTGAAACTCCTTTCATGGACTTTAGTCCACTGCCATGGAGCCTGCTTGTCTAAGAGCCAGTGTAACGGCTCTGCCACTGCAGCCTTATGTGTGATAGAAATTTAAGAGCCCCAAGAAAGCTTGCAGCTCACTCTTGGACTTGGGACTTGGGGCCTGCTGAATCGCTTGCAATTTAGTTTCAGCAGGGTGAATGCCTTGAGCATCAATCCTGAAGCCTAAGAAGTCAGTGGAAGTGACTCCTATTTTGCATTTGTCTTGCTTCAATTTAAGGCCTGCTTGGCGGAAACGAAGCAAGACAGCCCTTAATCTTTCTCATAGATTTTGAGATGACTCCCCAGCAATGAGGATGTCATTGAAGTAGGGACAGACCCCAGGAATACCATGAAGTGTGCGTTCCATGACACTTTGAAATATGCCAGGGGTTACATTAACCCCAAACTGCAGTCTTTTAACCTTAAAGGCCCCTCTATGTGTTACAATCGTTTGGGCCTCTGCAGTTGCCTCATCAACAGGTAGCTGTTGATAGGCCTGTGCCAAATCAAGTTTTGCAAAAAGGCGCCCCCCTTTGAGGGAGGCCAGAATGTGGGTTATCACAGGCACTGGATATGCATGCTGTTGCAATGCTTTATTCAGTGTGCACTTATAGTCTGTGCATTAGCCTTTAAAAGCGTTACAATGGGGGGGGGGTGTTTCCCATGGACTAGAGTTCACTGGTTCTAAGATGCCCTGCTGGAGTAGCTTGTCCAGCTCTGCATCTATCTTGCTTTTGAGGGCAAAAGGTACCCTTCTAGGCTTGATCCTGATGGGCATGATAGTTGGGTCTAAACTTAATGCAATGGGAGGCCCCTTGTAGGAGCCAAGCTCTGACTAAACACATCAGCAAACTCCTTGCAGACTTCTGCAAGGCCCAACGTTTGCAAGCTGTGAATCCCAGTCACTTGGATTCCAAGGGCCTCGAACCAATCGAGTCCAATAAGACTTGTGCGTTCACCCCCAACTACCACCACATCTAGGAAGCTCTCAAAAGCCTTACGCTGCACTTTGACCATAGCCTCCCTTTTCACATTGACTTTGGAATTCTGGAAGTCAGTGAGGATTAAATTCAATGGCCTGAGTTTAACTCGAAGGCCACTACTGCTGCAAATCCTTTTGAAGGTGTCAAGTGAAATGATTGATAGAGCGGACCCTGTGTCTAACTCCATCAATAAGGGAACCCCTTGCAACTTCACATCAATGCAAAGTTTTTTCTTAAGGAGCTTGTGTGTCCCTGTCCTCAGAATACTCCTGTGCGATGCGCAGAAACCCACCCTGTGTTGGCTGGGGACCCTGGTACCTTTCTGAAGCAATTCTTCCCGAGGTTGGACCTTCTGGCGACCCAAACAGATGGAAGCAATGTGGCTTTGCCTGCCATATGCCCGGCTAATGGCGAAGTGGAATCTGCAGTCAGCTCGGTTGTGGTGTCCTCCGCACCCGAAGCACTGAGGAGATGCTGGGACCTTGTCTGGATGTCCCTTCAGCCTTCTTTCTGCTGGCTGATGAAGTCTGTCCACCTCCTCTTCAGGATCTGCTTCTGAATCTTCTCGAGCGTCCTCTTGATGGATGGTCACAGTGGCTGGAGGGTTCCTGGCATGCCGCAAAGCCTTCACAGTGCTGCCTGCTGCTTCTTCAGCTGCAACCTCTCTTAAGGCATCTTGAAATGATACTTCTTCTTTCGCGAAGACCTTCTGTTGCAGTTCTCTACTTGGTAGGGCACACACGAAATGATCTCGCAGCCTCTCTTCCAGGTCCTTGAACTCACAAGGCCTGGCCGCTTGTCTTAAGGCAGCGATGAAGTCCGCAGCAGATTCGCCCGGCCTCTGGTCTCTATGCTCGAACGTGTGCCTCCAAGCAATGACAGACAATTTAGGCTGGAAATGTTCCTTCAGCATCTTCTTCAAGTCAGCGTACGTTACTGACTCCAGAAGTGCAGGGGCCACCAGATTTCTTCCTGGCTACAGGCGCACAGAAGAGTTGCCACTTTCAGGCTGTCTTCCTGATTTGATTCACTCTAAAGTAGTTGTCCACCCTTGCTACGTAAGAATTCTATCTCTCTGGGTGGGAGACATCAAAGTCCGTCAAGCGGCCAATTTTTGACATCATAAATTTTTACAGCCTTCACTAATTGCCTCCTCTGCAAGCTAGTATTTGGGAAAGGGTTCTTTTGCCGAGCTCACCTCCAGCGATGCTGTACTGGCAGGCTGAGTCGCGAATGCAGGACGCCGTCTTCCCAGTCTTCAGGACTTTCTTGGTGAGTCCTATTTGTTTCTCTTGCTTGCAGAGATCCCACCTTCATCGCCAATTTTATGTATTCGGTTCTTAGGCATTAGAGGAAGACACATGATGAACAAGTAATCTCTTTATTGATCTTCTCCTTACAACCAAGCAAACAGCAAAAGGCACGCAGGCCTTTTATAGAGTCCTGAACTCGGATAGTGTCAGCCAATAAGAAGCTGGCTGCTTTTGCGCCTTGCACATGCGCACAAGGCTGGCGACAGCCAGTCTGGTCCTGGGCAGCTTTTGGTCTGCCCGGGACCGTTTGCATCATTTCTGAGCCTGCTGAATACTTTAACAGGCTCAGGACACAACACCTATGGTCATGTGATCAAAATTCATGGGGTCAAGTGATCACCCTTTTGTAATCTTCTGACAAAGTCAGTGGGAAAGCCAGAGTCACTTTACAACCATATTATTAACTTAACATCTACAATAATTCACTTAACAACTGAGGCAAGAAAAATTGTAAAATGGGGCAAAACCCCGTAACAAATGTCTCATTTAACAACACAAATGTTGGGCTCAATTGTGGTCATAGGTTAAAGAATATATAGATGATACATACATAAACATAATATCATATATATATTCTTTAACCTATGATACAAGCTTTAAAGTGGTTTTCTCAAAATGGCAACTTTAACAATAGAAATTTCAATCCCACAATTTCCCAGCTGGCTACTTTAGAGCTTTAAAGAAATATTGCTTTAGAGCCTAAAACATTTCCTTGGATCTCATTCATTTTATAGTAATATTCTATCTACAGCACAATCTGATACATATCTATTCAGAAGCAAATATAACCAGATTCTGAGCTGTTTACACATAGGTAATGTTTTAGGTTAAAGCTCAATACTCAGATATTTTAGAATCTTGGTAAGATATGCAGACATTTTATACTTACCTTCTTTTTTTCAGAATAGCCTGACAAACATAATAAACACAATAGTTTTCTTTGGAATCAAGTTCTACTTTCTATATATATAAAAAAGCACATAGTTTTGTACTTGTATATATGAATACTGACCTAAGCTTTGTCTTGATAGGATATCTTCTGACCTTGCTATTTTGCAAGGATATGTTAACATTCTTTGCCTGAAAATTGAGAAAGTTATGAGTATTTGTTGTGAATCAACAATCAAGAATAGATAGAAATAAGCCAGCAACATAAATGGTTAAGATCCAGACTTAGTTAAATTAGGACTAGATCTACTGAAAACAGTACGGTATAACCTATGAATGAATTTGGATTGCAACCTATGTTTCATATAATAAAAATATTTATAACTATTTGTGAATAGTACCATTTCATTAAAACTCATATTAGTTCTTTAAAGCATACCTTATAATGATACATGCATTGAATGAATATTATAAATGATATTGTTTATTTAAATTGAATTACATTTTTGTCATTGGCATTTTCTACAAATCCTGAAATTTAGCTGCCAATCTACCAATCAAGCTGAAGAGTTTACATTGTATATAAATGTTTAAAATGACTTAAGGTAGCATAATGAACTGTTGAAAGTCAACTTGAAAATTATCAATTTTATATAATTGTGAAAGGTAATCTGCTATGAATATATGAACTGACCTCAGACTATGCATATTTTAGATATAAATATCTTCAGCTTTAAGTTAAAGGTTTCTTTCAAATAAAGTCTTTCATTTTAAGCCTTAAGACACAGTTCATCATTTTGGAAACAAAATACAGATTGCATCAGAATGTACATTATTTATTTATTAGAATATTTCTGTTCTGCCTTACACTCAAACGTTTCTGAAATTGGTAATAAAACTTTTAAGTTGATTAGCATAATGTGATGAATACAGATTTAGTAACATAAATAATAAATCCACTGAACTCTATTACTAATTTAGAGCACAATCCTACAGTAGACAAGAGTGGCAACTATGGAGTAAGAATCAAACTCAAAAAAATCTTTTTTTCCTCCCAAGCAGGCTTGGAAATTAATATTTTCTAATATGTGAAATCATGCCAAGAACAAAATGGGAGGAGGAAGCTAGAGAAGGATCTGCTACATTAAAAGTCATTGCCAGCTAAGATAGCCCCAAAATAACCCTTATCCTAATTAGGAGTTTTAGTGGATTGTTTCCCTTACACTGATTATAGTAAGAGAGAACTCAGAAAAGGGAAGAAGGAAGGAAGATATGCACTTCATCCCTCACTTCTCTCCTGTCACTAATTGGGCATGGGTTTTAGGCTTTATCAAGCAAGATTATTCTGCTAAGAATTTTCAGTGGCACTACTTTATCCAATGAAGACCTTGTGCAGAGCTTTCCCAAGCTTAAGCTGTCCTTTCCCAAGACAGAATGCACTAGTCTAGGGGTCCCTAACCCCCATTACTGTGGCCTATTTGGAACTGGGCCATGCGATTGTGAGCTGGTGTGCATGCATGCACGCAGCTTGACTTGTTCAAGCACCAGGCCAGCATGCACTCATGCACACACACATGCATGCAGCTCAACTTGCGCAAGTCAAGCTGCACATGCATGCACACCGAACTGTTGCTCATGCAAGAAAAGCTGCACGCAAGAGCCAGCCTGCCACTTGAGTGGCCTGGTTCCCCTTCTCCCCCAGCCAGGCAAGCAAGCCACAAAGGTTGGGGACTGCTGCACTAGTCTTATTAAGTATTAATATAGTATACTTCTTTGTTAAAATTAACTGTTCAACTGCAAAGACCAGAGTGTGGTGTCAATTATACTAACATTCTTAATTGTATTATCTTCTGTACAGCAGTTTTTAACTAAATGTTTGCCAGGAGGTGATTCGTTAATACATCCACATGACATGAATAGCAGGCACAATCATTGCCCAGCAATATAGTAAGCCAAAGAAATGTTTGAAAGTTATAGAACTTAGACTTGAAGATAAGTTCCTGGCATCCTGCAAAATCCATTTGAAAGATGGAATGTGATACAGGATGGAACAGTATGATATATGCTGGATGTAAATATTTTATCATGCTTATTGTACTTTTAAAATAAAGTGGATGAAATCTAGAGATAGGGGTTTTTAGCTATTGACTATGAATTTAATATATATTAGGAGCCATATTAAAATAGGGTTCTTATGAGTTTTAACAGTTTTTGGTGGCTGATCTGATTTGCTGATACTGAAACATACTGCTGATTTATCTATTTAATCACTTCTGTTGTTAAGGCAGGCTAAGTACAAATAAATAAAAGACATATACTTCTTATATCCTGGAAAAATTAAGATACATGAATTTGCTATCCATATTCTTTTATTTTTCCTTGTCTAGTGAAAATCACAATATTTTAAGACCATCAGAAGATAACCAGACTTACTTCCTTCCATTTCTGTAACTAATTTTCTTCCCACATTTTTTTGTACAACTTTTAATCTGAGAAAAAGATGGATTATTTTTGAATACACAGTATATTTAATGGCAGTCAACAGCTGTTTCAAAAGTATATGGTTACCTTTTTAATTTCAACAGCTCTTCCCTCATAGATGTTATTTTTGATCACTTGTAAATAAGATTTAATGGGTAGGTTCACCCATTTTATTAAATTATATATTTGTTACAATAGATTTCAGCCTTGTATTTTTCCTTTATCTGTATTATAGAATAGGATGTTGGAAGAATTTTTTGTTTTCTCATGGTTAGATTATCACAATTTCTTGTATATCCAAACCACAACTTTGGTTAATTATAGTTAACATCTGATTAAGTCATAACTGAATTGGCATGTTAAATTCATTAAAAAATAATTATAATTTATCACTTCACAAGAATGATAAAATGATAAATTATGCAATAGAAGTTTCTGAGACTCTCTTGGTTATCTATCTATCTATCTATCTATCTATCTATCTATCTATCTATCTATCTATCTATCTATCTATCTTCCTCCTTGTCCTCCTGCTCCTCCTGCTCCTCCTCCTCCATCATCATCATCATCATCATCATCATCATCATCATCATCATCATCATCAAAATCATCATTTTAGCTATTGTCTATCCACTGCAGGATAGAGGCCTCTTCTGCATGTTTCCAACCAATACAGTTGTGAGCCTTTCTTTTGTTAATTGGGCCCACAATACTTGCTGATGTCGTCAATCCATCTTGTTTTACACCTCTTTCATGGACCCTTTTTATCATGTGGGATTCATTCTATGACTGCCTTGATCTACCTCCCATCAGTTCTTGCTATGTGACCATCCAATTATCTATCTGAATATGAGATTAAATGAGCCTGAAGCTTCTGGCATTTTAGAGTAGTGGTGCAGTGGTTAGAATGCAGTACTGCAGGCTAATTCTGCTGGCTGCCGGCTGCTACAGTTCGACAGTTCGATTCTCACCAGCTCAAGGTTGACTCAGCCTTCCATCTTTCCATGGTCAGTAAAATGAGGACCCAGCAATATACTGACTCTGTAAACTGCTTAGAGAAGGCTGTAAAGCACTACGAAGCAGTATATAAGTCTAAAGTGCTATTGCTATTATCAATATCACACAAACAATATTGGAAATTATGTTCAAAGTATAATTAGTATAGTTAGTATATTAATATAGTTACTATATTAACTATAGTATTTTTCTTCAGGTATTTATTCCTCACCCCAAATCAAACATGTTTTATTTAAATTATTGTGAAGCACACAATAAAATGAATTAATTATATCCATTTTCATTCTAATATAAAATGCTTATAAAATTAGTAAGTTACTAATTTATTCAAGTTGCAAAAACAAAGACATTTCATATCAATAAACATTGTGATAGGAAATAGTATTGCTATTTAGAAAGAACAGCTGAAAGCAAATATTGCAAAGCAAAGTTGTCCAATAATCAATTAAAATTGTAAGAATTTATATTTAAATCTTACCATTTTTCTACATTCTATTTTATCAGTTTTTCTTTTGGTTTCTTTGTCATTTACTGTATCTAAAAATCATTATGAAAATAATTAAGAAACAATTGAATCATAATGACTAACAAATATAAGATTTTATATGATTGTTTTTGATCTGTGCTCAGTTCTTATGTTATAAATATTACAATATTATGGAAATAGGAATCTACAAGAAAACTACTCAAGACTAACACATGGTGGGCTGTGGTACGATGTTTGCTGGAGGAACACGGTCCAATTCAGAACCTGGTTAATCTTACATGATAAATTAATACCTGCAGTAAGTATCCAAAAATATTTTATAGAGTATATTGATCATAACAGAGATGCAGCTGCAGGAACTAGTATTTGATTAAAGGTTATATCCATCACGTAAAATGTACAGGTTCCTAACTGAATAACACAGATTATTTTGAGCTGGGTGTTTATTTATTCTTTTATTTATGAAACTTCTATTGATTTGATGCAGGAATCATTAGTATCTAGCAGTATTAGTATTCAGTACAGATACTATCATTAGTTCATGCCACAATTACTGGGAAAAATATTTGCACACATAAAAATTAAAGTGTTTGTGTATAATAACAACTAAAGGCCAGATAACTGTACCCTTTTTTGATAGATAGCATATGTCGAGCCTTTGCTGAGTAGAATATGCAAGCAATTTGTTTGCCTCTTCCAATGCACTGTCATACCAGGCTTTTTTCTTCTTACATACATCTGCCTAAGGAATACACATATAAAGCTATGTTACTAATTGATATTAGGTACAGTGTTATTTTTCTAAAATTCTCAGTATAAAATGTAAAAATTTTTTTACAATGCATTTAGTTAATTACGTGCATTATATAAATAGCTGCAGAAACAATGAACATGCAACTTAAATCAAACTTGAAATTATTTTAATTTTAGAAAAAGGCATTATTTTATATTGGGAAATTGTGGAGGAAGAGGAGGAAAGCAGAAGCAGAGACAGACACAGAGAAAGAGAGTTTGTGTAGCAAATTTTAGGTGCTATTAAAGAAAAGCCCTGTTTTCCTTTTAAAATAAAGGAAAAGATATTTGCTTTTTTTGGCTCAAACATAAAACTTACAGTCTTTCTTGCAGGACCTTGAAAGTAACCCTAGATCTCTTGAAGCAGGACTAGGGAAACAATATGACTTTGTACATGGTCTTATAACATAGCTGTTTCTGCTATATAATTTGTTTTAGTTATTATTCTACCTTTCTTACAATTTTCTATTGTCCTATTGAAACTTTGGGGAAGAAATATTATAAATGAGGTCGACTGCAACATGTAGTACATTTGAAATCAAATGTATGTCCTTAAACTGACTGTAAATCATCAGGTTCATAACATATACTACAAAGCTATTTAAGATCAGAGCATTACCTTTATGCTTTGGTATTAAATAAATCTAACAGAAATGTCTTTAGCTTGTTGCTAGGCATTAACAACTGAACTCAGTATTGAACTGCTACTTTGCAGAAACTACAAATTATAATACTAAAGTTAGTGGGTTAGAAGATATTAATACTTTCTATTTTTACCATCCTGTTATCAACAGACTCTGGACTAAAGTATAGGAGTTTCAGTTAGATATTTTCCCTATGAAAAGATATGGGACATATCAGCCTATATGGAAAAAAAACAGCATCCACAGTTTTTAATATTTATTCTGAGAAATACAGAAAACAGAAGGTCAGTTTAGCATTATATATGTTTTGACGTTTCAGTTTTGAACTAATTATACACTTACATTCTTTAATTACTACCCACCCAATTATTGGTTATCTGAGTCAAAAGTACATATGAATTAAATAAGTTCAATACTTAAATAAGTCCAATAATTGAACTTATTTAAGTTCAATACTTATTGTGTCATCAAATATTTCTAATACAAATTATTTTATTTTTCTGACAAGCCATAGTCAGATGAATGCTGTTGTCTTGTCACTCATTTATTCTTCTCAGTGAAATCTTCACAAGTTAATTACTAGCATTGTTTAACTCATAAACTCCTAAATATTCCAGATATTTTTTTAAAAAAATAGAGGAAACTAGCTAGCATATTTACTATGCAATAAATCAAACTAAATGTAAAACGACAAGAACAGAAAAAATCATGTTTGTAATCTTTCAACTAAAATAAAATCAAGTAAAATTATAATAAATTGGAATGTTTTGTTAGATTTCTGTACTTGATTCTATTTACACAAATGTGTCTTGTTTTCTGAATAATTTTAAAACAAATATATCGCTTTAATTCCCTTGATTTTTGAAATAAATATGTCCAATGGAAACACATTTACCCTTTGAATTCTTGCAAATGAAGTATTATATCAACAGCCTTTCTTTGTTCTTCACAATATCTGATATTGTAACACCTTGCTCGATGAAGAAGCTTAGAAATCATATATATTTTGTCACATTAAAGTTATCTAATAAAGCAAGGTAAGATTATAAAAAGATATTTATATACATATATTTAAATGTTTTTACTTTGTAGAAGTTATATTGTACACTTTTCTCCTCATTACAACAATATCTGCCTCACTATTCTGGCATCTGACATACTCCCCAGTTTGTTGTCTTAACCTTAATCTATTTAACTTTAAATCTCTTTTAAGTTGGCATCATTTTTCTCCATCAACAACTTTAAGGAAATAACATATTAAACTATAAACTTGTGTGTTATATGCATTCATCCAAAAGACTTAATATATGATTCACTGTGTACACAAATGAAAAAGATTGGAAGATGAAATGATTCACTTAGCTATAGCCAAGTGTGCTGTACAAATAATTTTGATAATTAGGATGAGTTGTCAGATTTTATGCCTAATTTTAAGTGTGTGCTGCAGCATTGCTTCTGTGAATAATGTTTAAAAAAAACTTGCACAGAAATTCCAAGATGTGTGACTTTACATAATACCTGTTTATTTTATAATTATACTTTTTATAGCATATTATCTACTGTTAAGTAATAAAAGTACAGATCAATATTTTTCAGAATTCTCAAGTATTAGCATTTCATGTGTTGGTGATATTTGAAAAAAGGGATTCCTATCAAATATATGGTTTTAATACAAAGTTTTCTCAGGCAAATAATACCTAATTATCAGGGAAGATGTCATTTACATTATCCCAATTATTAAGGAATGAATAAATAATAATTCACTTAAAACATATCAGCATTGGTGGCTTCCGGTTCCGGTTCATGGTTGTGTGGTCGAGCAAAGGGAGTCGTCCCTTTGCCGATCGAGTTTCCTCTGCTGGTAGACCCCTTAGAGCAGTATTTCTCAACCTTGGCAACTTTACGATGGTGGGCTTCAACTCCCAAAATTCTCCAGCTAGCAATGCTAGCTGGAGAATTTTGGGAGTTGAAGTCCATACATTGTAAAGTTTCCAAGGTTGAGAAACACTGCCTTAGAAGGTCGAAAAGACACTCTGGAGGAGCGTCTTCTGTTGAGGAGGCTTCTCTGATAGTTGCAGAGGGGCGGCCGCGTCCTCTGTGCACCAAGTATCTCCTTTGGGCCGACAGGGTAAAGATTGGCCAATAAAATGGCTGATCATCTAGCTGCATCAACTGCAAGCCACAAGATCAGCTAAACAAACGGACCCACTGTGGAGAACCCGGTGAGACTTTACTTTCGCCTCTATTTTCTTTACGCCTGTGAAAAGGTTTTTTTTTTCTTGGAATTATTTCCTTTTCTGGTGAAGCGGCTTTTTAAATGGGGAAAGAGAAGCACAAAGGATTAAATCTACTTTTGTTTTAATGGTTGATTTTATTTTTGGATATTGGGAGCCTCAAGAAAGTTTTTTATAATATTTGGAGAATATTGTTTGATTTTATTTTTATGGTGGCCGGAAGGATTGAATATCTGATTATTTTCTGGGGGACACTCTTTGACAAATTTATTCATTGTATTTGCTATCTTTGCTTCGCTGGAAAGTCTTTCATTTTGTACAAAGGAAAAAGATGAGGAAACTGGGAGGAGATGGATATTGTGATTGTTTTTTAAATATAGTCTCCTTCAAAAGGATAAGGATTTGAAATATAATAAAGATGGAGGAAATTGGTGTAGATCTTATTTATAAGTATATTTTGGACAAAATTTTGGAAAATATGGAGAAGATAATTGCTTGCTCAGAGATTTCTGTGTATCCACAAGGCAAAAGACAAGGACTAAGTGAAACATCAGTTTACACACAAGAGGCTTGTGCTCCGCTTACTGAGGTGGAAGAAGTAAACTTATAGTTGGACAATCAATTGATTTTGGAAAAAAGACTTGATATCAATGGACAAAGGACTTATGATAAGGAACTGGACGATCTTGCTTCAGAAGGACAAGTTGCCTGCAGACACCATTTGATTTTGAGATAGAGAAAAAAAACATGGGAAGAAGAGAAAAACGTGAGCAAAGAGGACAATATAAAAGAAAGGACTTTAATTGAAATTTATTCAATGTTAAAAGAAAGGGGAAATGATGTTCTGCTACGAGTCATTCAGATTAACTATAACTTTTATACTAATTTAACAAAATGCACAATGGGAGCTTCTTTTTTGGAGTGTATAGTGTGGTAGGCGGAGGCCCGTTTATGGAAACCTGTTTGGATTAGAAAGAAACCCAGAATACGATATAAATATTAAATCTGATTGTAGTAATGTGGTAAAGGTTTTATAGCAATCTGGATTGATTTAAAATTGATTTAATATTTTTTAATATTAGAGATGGTATAATGAGAAAAGAACTGAAATATGGGAAATGGTGGAATTAATTATTGGAGATTTGGAGAAACAGTGAAAAACAATAGAATATTGGTCAGAAAGAGAAGAATTTATTTTTGAAGTTAATAATGTTTAAATAAAAAAACACTTGGGGCACCTGAACAGTAAATGGATATGTTAGTTTAAGTTTAAATATTTACAAAATTAAGAAAGCATGATACAGGATCTTTGGGATGGATAATGAGTTTGTAAACTTTTATTGATTAATGAAACTTACATAGAGTGATATATTTAATGAAAATTTGTTTTAGAAATGTTTTAATGAGCCTATAACAATATAAATAGACAGAGAATGTTAATTTATTTTTAATTATATAACTTGGATAAAATGTCATATTAGGGAATGAATTGGTTTTAGAAAGATATTGACTTGATTATAATGTTTTTAAATAAATGGAGAGTTTATTAAGCTTAAGTTTAAATATGTGAAGAAATATAGATTTTTATAGATTAAATTTTTTTTATTAATTAATGCAGTTGATGGTTAGACATAGTAATGAATGAATTCATTTGAAAATGTATTAATTTGAGTATAATATTCTATATAGATAAAGAGGGAAAATTTTAAGAAGTAATGTGTATATATTTATTATGTTATTGTTGATAAAAAAAATTGATCACCATGTTTCCACGTGGGTTCTTAAGCAGTGCTGGTGTAAAATGGAAAACAAATAAAAATTGTTTTGGAAAAAAAAACATATCAGCATTAGTTAGTGCTATGCTAACATAACGAGGGAGGCAAACTACTATTTTGAATCATTGGGAAGATGTGCTGGCCAAAGAAAAATCAGAGATGACAATTATTCTTTTTTTCTAGTGATTTTGTAAAAATGTGTTCATATTGATTTTTGTCAATATGGGTGGAATGAACTATGCCAAGTAGCAGCTGGCTTGAGAATCTTGGTCTAGTGGGGAAAAAATTGCTTTGCAA